TTGACATGATTCAATACTAGGTAATTGTATTTTAAGGCTTGTCTGAATTGGAATCATGTCTGCTACAGTTCCCAAGTTCTGTACTTATACAATAACATGACACTACAGTGCAATATAGCGTGCGTGGGTTATTTTACAGAAAAACTAATGGCGAGATCGGGATATGGCCTTTTCGGTTTATCGATTAATATGTTGGCACTCCGTTCAAAATTTTCCTCACCAATTTTGATACACTGGCAAGGTGGCATTTACGACTGACTCACTAAACTGATTGAGATCGAGTAGGGCAGGATCACTGTGGTTAAGGGATATACCAGATAGAGGGTGACGATGAGTTCCTGAGACCCCATTGTATACGAAGAAAAGTATATGTCCCCAATGTACTTGTTCTACATATGCCAGAGAACTCTTAGGAGGCCAAACCGGCTGAACAGTTTAATCGCTCAAAATACGAAATGCATTCCGGGATCCAAAAAATTGAGTGAAATGTCGAAGAACGGTCGACTAGTTGGGATGCATCTACGATTAGCTCACTCACTTTGCTGGAATGATAAAGATTAGCATCCAAGGCTGAGTGATGAAATCTTTGGGTTAATTATTCCGGGAATTTAATTGACACCATATTCGCCTTCGTTTCCAATGGAAAGATTCGTCAGTAGTCACATGAAAATACAAAACTGAATACAAAGCTAGTCTATTTATTTACGACGCTATCAATGATGTGACATTATTTTAGCTTTTTATTTTTCGTTCATTTGTAATATTATGAGAAAAGTGAAATTTAAACCGTCTTTCGAAATCTTTTGACGGTGCGTTCCATATCTAGTCGTACGCCACAGCTAAGTTTTAAAGAGGTATGATTGTTCCTGTCAGATTTGTCACCACATTGCACATGTACGGCCCTGTGTGAACTAGGGGTGGCAAAAATTAGCTCAATGAAATCCTAGATATTGACGTTGGCTGCCTGACAGAAGGCTTGCAGTCATTCCCACATGACATAGTACTAAGAAGAAAAGAAGCAACTGGCATCCAAATGGTGACTATTAACAACTGCCTTTCTGCACTGTGGCATGTAGTGTGTGAATGCTTGTGTACTTTTTGTCAGCCAACTAATGGCTAGATCTGACGTTTTAACTGAGTTACTTTACACCATTCTTAGTTCATACGGGCCTAGTTGTCACGCTCTGTGAGCCATATTTTCCCAGTGGTTGACGTGCGGTGAGCATAATCGGTGGCAATGCACACTTAATCATCTAGTAGATAATTAAATTCCATGCATTTATCCAAGGATTGCTGGAATGTTTAGCCTACTGGTTTTCGTTCCAACCAAAGCTCTACAATGAAACGAGAGGTCATAACGTGAGCAAGTTAGACACTCACTTAATGCTATTGTGTTAACTTCACACTGGTTATAGACACCTTTTTAAGTGTCTGAATACCTTCCTGTGAGCTGTTCAAGCTAAAGGGTGGTTCTTTCTGCTGCTATTAGTGTCACTAGGAAGCCAGTGGTCGAAAATCAAGCTGTTTACCAGCTATTTTGTAAAAGAATATTTTCCTCTACGTGTCAAACTACTTTGGTGATAAGGTGGTACAATACATTTCTAAGACATACGTGGGATCAGAAATTATGTGTCGCACATAAGTTCCAAAGGCTGTTGACTTACAGTAATAGAAGTTATATGAACTTGCGAGTTTGATGTCTTGGACTTAAAACAACTTTCATGATCGTCAAACATCCATCTATACTGGCAGACCGACGTCCTGTCCATAAGAATTTGTAACTGATCTCAATTTAGCAACGCATTCTATCTAGAAACAAATGTATGAAAAAGTGGCGACAAACAAAGGCCTGCCAGTCTTCCAGTGCACACCATCAGTAACTGCGGACAGGATCGTGACTGCGATAAATTCGTGGATTCAAATGTACTTCATATATTTCGGCCTTCAGGTATCAGTTTATTTGTTTTTAGCATTCGGGTACGAAGTAAAGCATCAGGTTATGTTGCTCTCTGAAGGAGCAATGAATCGGTGGCATCATTGTCTTGAGTTCACATGTACTCATAGTTTCTCAGTACTGTGTATTCTTTCCCCTACTGACTGTCATTAACGGTAGTCTGTTATGGCTAATCAGGCTAGAGAATTACCATTGTTGGCCTCATGGTATTTCACCACTGAGTCACAGAAATCGCCTAAGTACAGGCCTTTCCGACACCAATAGCTGGTTTTGTACTTCTGGGTGATACCTGACGGAATGACGCAGCTCTGCATTCCCAAATCTGGCATCACCCTGCTTCTAGTTTCTTATATCTCAGAAATTGGCAGATACTAAACTTGTGGGGTCCCATCGCCTTAGCCTGGATGATTCACCCAAGAACCGACTTTCAGTGCGTCGGTGGCACAGTGGTTAGGACTCTCGCCGACCATGCACATGGTCCGGGGTTCGATCCCCTACCGACGCACACCCGATATCTATGGTCGGCCTGTAAATTTGGGCTACCGATATCCATGCTGAAAACTCCATACTTGTACTGAAAATACGGTGTGGCATCAAGCTGTAATAAAAAATTAAAAAATTTTAAAAAATTTAAAAAGTTTAATTAAGTTAAAAATTAAAATTAAAATCTGAATAGTTTTAACTTGATTAATAAGCGCTTTTTGGTGAAGTTTTCACACTTCCGTTGACCAGTGTATTCTTGCACATGAAAGAGCATAAATCCGGCTACATCGTCTCAAAATCTGACCTTACGGATAGGTTCTGATCACTTCTCCTTCGTAAAGCCGGATTCGGAACAGCATTTACTGCTGGCTCGCACACATAGGGCGTGATGAACTTGTTTACTTCTCACCATAATGCTCCTATGATTCACCGTTAAATTTCGATTGAGGGCCAGCTGTCTTCAGGTGCTGTAAAATGTCACACAACTACGACTCTGCCTCCAGTGAATTTCCATTTGCTATTTATAACAAATAAGAACCTCACTCGAAAGCTGTGTCACTTGTATGTTTTCCCCAATTTATAAAATAGGAATCTCAGCAATATTTTTCTGAATAAATAAACATGTGTGATGAAAATCAACACTGCCACATACTCCTGCAATGGTAGCGAGAATCTATGGATTCCCAAAAGTGTTAGAATACAAACCTAACGTTTTTTCATCAATATCCTAAGCATGCAATCTTGAAAGGGACAGCTTCAGAAGACACAATAACCGTAAGGATGACTATGTCTCATAAAAGTAAAGTTAAATAGTAGCATGATATCAGAGGTGAAACAAATTCCAGAAAATGCAAAAGACCAGTCAGAGGAATTGGGTACAACTAAATCATTATAGCTGTCTAAAAGCGATCTGTAGGCAAATAAAACCCCACACTCAATGGAAAAAAGTAATCTCAAAATGACTCAATACCACACGATAACGAAACAACGTTTTGCAGTCATCGAATATCAAAAATGACCTGAATGTCCAGTGACTTAAGAAGAATGTTCGGTCCAGTACCACAGAATTCGAAGTTTGAAGAGATACATGACCGACACATTGGTGATGCACTTCCATTGGCTTGGTGGTTGACGCTTACTGAAATGACGTTCATTATCACATGTAAACTTATAAAGAGGTGATAACTTGTCAAGTTATCAAGTAAGCAGCCAAATCTGTCCTGCCAACCACATTTACAGGATATATGTTAAATAGAGGAAATTCTGTTTTAAGGTTGGGTAGGAAAAGATTCCCCATAAAAGAGGGTGTTAGCTTCATATTAAAAAAAATATAAAATATCTTGGCTAGATTATTTACAATAGTATACTTCTTAGGACACTGGACCGTACAATATTACATTTTCTGTGCTTTGAAAATTTGCCTGGGAAACGATGGGACCCGGCTGAATTAGAAGGAACAGAACATTTCAAAGCTCACTAAAGTTGCTCTTTATTTTCAGGATTCTAAAGTTGTTCTAGTCTTTAAGTTTCCAGCGGTCATCGGTTTTTAGTTTACTCGTTCTTCAACACGATTCCACTTGTTTGTCTATCGCTACGACAGTATTTCAGTGACTGTTTAATGATCACAAATGATTTAGCTATTTATATCATGACAACAAAGTGTGTGAAAAGTCAATTGTTGCATCTAAAAGAAAGTTATTTCGGAATGGCTGTTTTGTACCAGTCAGGACTGATTAGCTGGATTCATTACCATTTAGGAAAAGTGAATAACCACCACAATGTTAATCAGTGTGTTCACTACAAACAGGTTCTAGGATTTAGCTACATAAACCTTATGGCATACATTTAGTCTGAAAGCAGGAAATAATATCTGCTTAATCATACAGAATACATGTCCACATTGAAACAGTTTAATATTGTTTTGTGCATCTACTTCGGCAGTTGTTTTAGTATAGAACGCATCAAATGACATAATTAGTTATCGCGAAGGCCAGGGGTGTGTTAGTTGGAGCCTCACTATGTATATATATTTTACATGAAGAAAAATTAAATAGTGTGATTTATTGTGTCTATCCGAGTGGAAAGAATTAGGATTAGTATCTTTAAGCTATTTTTCTTATTTCCTGAGATTCATCCCTCTTATATTGCTTAACACTTTCGTAGGAAACTGTTTTTCTACATTTTTGGATTGAATAATGTGTCCTTAAAAGGTTTAACCACATATCTTGCAAGGCAAAGAAAGTTAAAGTATGTTGCAAAAGAATATTGTCCTTCAGCTATGACTTCCCGACTCGAGTTAGAAATTTGTTGGTTTTGCACTAAATGTCTACGTATAATTAATTAGCTTACTTCTTGACTCTCTATCTCATATTTCTAACAGCTACCGTAATTATAATGTATTATTGTGGTTTCACCTGAAATTGTTCTTAATTGGGCATTTTAGGGCACAAAAATAACTAACCTATGCAAATCAATGGGATATTGAACTTTGTATTACTTTGCAGTGCTTTAAGAATTTTGAAAACTATTTTCAGTCTTTAAATTTCTTTTTCCAGTAGCGAAAATGATTGTGGAAGTCCATGAACTAGACAAAATAAACGGCAGAAATGATCATGCTCCAGCTGTACAATTGAAGAAAACAATTGGATTAGCAAGTAGTATAACAATCATAGTCGGCTCCATGATTGGATCTGGAATATTTGTCAGTCCAACTGGAATACTGGAAAATGTTCAAAGTATCGGAGCAAGTCTTATCATATGGGTCGCTTGCGGGATTTTTAGTATGTTAGGAGCATACTGTTATGCCGAGTTAGGCACAATGATTCATCGTTCTGGTGGAGATTATATATATGTTTATGAGGCATTTGGTCCATTTCTTGGGTTTCTTCGATTGTGGTCGGAAGTAGTTGTTGCCAGACCTGCATCTATTGCAATATTGGCAATGACATTTGCGAAATATATCGCGCAGCCGATTTTCCCAACCTGTGATCAACCTGAAATTGCAGTACGTCTTTTAGCTACAGTTTGCATTGGTAAGTATCCTAGTTTTGTTTTTAAAATAAGATAAATATTCTATGCACTTATAAATAACTTGCTAAAAATTACTAATCTCTGCAGAAATTTGCTAAACTAGCAACTTAGTTCCATAAGGGCCACTATTATGAATGGTCAGGAAATAAAGAAATAGTGTACAAAAGCATTCAGCATAGACAGATAGCACTTATAAATGACTAATTTTATAGGTCGTCTTGGGCTTTTTACACTGGTTATCACCATTTGTAGTCATATGACCATAAATTACACCATTTACTTTTTTGACAGGTTTATTCATCAGCATAAGAAGGTAGGTTTTGGACCTAAACCTTGTTAAGAAATTCTTCGTTTTATTTCACCTTGTGATTTGTTTATCCGCTAACTACCAAATGGGAAAAGTTGAGCCAAACATTTTTAGACATATAATGCCAGAAGTTACATGGTTTGCAGCTTAAAGTCTAACAGTTAACCATAGGTGAAAAGCTTATATTTGGCTACAGGCACACATCGTAGACCCACACAGAAAAAATTACCCTTTTGATTCAAATTTAATCAAAATGTTTAGGTGGTGATGCCATTGTGTTTTTGTCACTCCCTTTAAACAGCTTCAAGAACACCGAAGCCAAACCCATTAGCTTTACTTGTGCATGAAGTTTGTAAATATTGGTGGCAAAGGTAGCAAACTTCTGTTAATAATCATAAGTAGCGGAGAGTCTTTATTTTGTCACTTATAATAATAATACTCGACTACGCTAAATGTTATATAGTCACTGAATTGTGTTTACGTAAAAATGATCTACTATGTGACCCACCTGGATGTTTACCATGTCAGTTGGAAATGCTACGATATTTGGTTTTGGTTTACAGTTTACAGCTGAACACAGATTTTTCTATGCTCAGTTGAATTGCGGTTTCTCCTTTGTTTTAGCTTGGTAGATGTTTGTTTACTGTTTGGAAACTGTACATTGTTATAGGGTTTGTATTTCTCTTTGTTGTATATCATATTTTGAGTCATGGGTGCTTTCATCATTCATATAATACTCACTCATACCCAAAGTGTTTCGTTGTGGCACAGTTCTGTCTCTGTTCTTTGCCTTTTGGTGTGATTTCCGAAGTCTCATAAATTTAAATGATGCAGTTCTGCTCACACGTCTACGTTTACTTTTCTCTTCTTCTCTTCCATTTTGCAAAAGAAAATTATTTAAATTTACTACTAGAAACAAGGCGTATTTCAGTGAATAACAATGACTCCAGGAAGGTGGTTATCTAATGCACAAGTTGTTTGTGGCATCGTACTTAGTAGCTAATGTTTATATTAGCATCCCATTATACAGTTTAAATCACAGTAATGCAGTATTTATTTAAGGTGTTGTAATATTCAAAAACATTATGCTAAAATTTACACCAATAAAAAATGAACTCTATCTTCTACGTAATAGTCTCTTATTTAAAGGAAGACAGTTACCAGTCTTTATGACGTTTTGTAGGCTGTTGAATAACCAGATGCAACATACCCGTATTCTATACAAAAACGCATCCATTTTGTTTGCAATAATAAAAACGGATGCTCAGCAAAACCGACTGATAAGTATGATAAAAAAGAAATGAAGTCATATTCAATCTTTGCCGCATAGTTATCACATCCCAAACTTTGCAATAACTTTTTATCCCTTACAATTTATCTTCTTTCTTTATCTGTTGATATCCTCATTACCTGATATACCTAGCTCATACTTATCCCTAAGGCTTACTTAGAAAATTGTTTAGCAGTTTTACGGCCTAAATTCTGTTCAAAATAATATGGCTTTAAAAACATTTTTGGATTTAAGAAGTAGCTCATAACGCATAATGCCCGCTTAAGTCACTTAAGTTGAAGTAGATTCCGTAGCATATTGACTGAGTCACCTAAGAAAGTAAATTTTTCGAACTCACATGGACCTATTCATGCGATAGGAGACACTTTTTAGAAAATTCTGGAAAGCATATTCGTTCTAACTTTTCTGACTGAGAAGTGAGTCGTGGAGATAAAAAATTACCGTTATTTCTTATATTTCTGACTGTATTTTACAAGGCAACTCTTATAGACTATGTGTATCAGAGTATTATTTCAGAGCCTTTTTCCATGTAGTGTCTTCTTTATGTGAACTGTTACATACTTTATAGGTAAGTACTGTCAGCTCTAAACATGCACTAAGGTATATACATAAGTACCCTTAACTCATATATCGGCTGATTAAGTGAACCAAGAGGGTGTTGTTAAACAAAGCAAGAATACCTTAGATGAGATAATAGATTATTACCTCAGAAAAAGTGACCGCAGTAGATCACCAGAGAACAACACATAGAAAGTCATTTTAACCGTGATGAATTTCACCAGCCTTCATGCCTTACCTAAAAGTACACATTCAAGTCTAATAAGCTACACTTTTTGAATTCAGCAACTATGATGCTGGTATAGCAGCAAATATAGTAAACTCGCATTTGGTGTTCTAGAGGCCTGTCTATTTTTAAAACTGAGGAGTTTTCGAAAATCCCTCCATTATTCTCAGCGTTATCTCCAGGATTATTTTTCCAGGACAACTAACAGCAGAAAAAGAAGTTCAGATTTTAAAAGTGAAGAAACTATTGCTCTTCTATCTTACTAATCAGTAGCACTTATTTATTATTATTAATCCTTTGGGTTTTGTGTGGAACACAGGACTTCAACAACACATCTCCATTTCATCCTGTTCTCTGAAGTCCTCTTTAGTTGGCTCTATGATTGCCTTCATGTCACCCAACTTATTGTTTCCTATTCTGGTCTTAATAGAGGGGTTGCTTGGTGCATAATTCCACTCAAAGGATTCCTCAGAGTTTCCAATCCACTTCCGATTTCTTCAACATATTTCTTGGACCATAAGTTGTTGCTTGGTTCATTGACAAAGTTCCTTGTAGCCAATCCTTTCCAGCTATCTGATCTTCAGTATGCGGTCGGAGAAGGCTGCTTTTGATGAAAGCTTACAGACTGTTGGTAGTGCTTTTGATGACGCATTAGTAGCACTTATGATTATACAACGACTGGAATCAGTTTTCATGGTGAAACTTGTACACAACACTCACTACTTTACATAATAAACGGTTATTCACAAGTCTACTCAGTGGTGGTATTCTTCTACTGAGTAAGAAATATTTGCTAATTTTGTTTCTTTATTATTTATTGACTGAAAGTATTCATAATCTCTTGATAAATAAATTAAGCCACAAAATTTTTAAGTGTTATTATTGAAATGAGACGAAACTTTAGATTACTTGATGGTCTGTGTACTACTCAAAAAGCTAGAAAAAATTGTTGAAGTTATATTTTAAAACAACAATGATAATAACACTATTAATATCACTTGAAGTCGTAATTCAAATAACTACATAAATCATCTGGTATTTAGCACATACGATGACAAATAAAGTAGAAACAGCTAAATAGAATATTTTATTCTTAAAAGAATTCTGTTACTTTTCGATTCAGCGAATAAATAACTAAAGATAAATGAGTAATGGAATGTAGAGTTTGTAGCCTTTGACAATAACACATTTCGAGTGTAAATACATATTTATTCTCTGCTGGTCTTTTGCAACTTTTTCTACCTATGGGAAAGACACTAAAGCAAAATACTTTGTAACTTTGGAATATACTTGTCCATCAAGAAAGCGGAATATTTAGAGTACTGTTAGGGCTATTTAAAGATTAATGATGATTTACACTAAGTGGTTGATCATGATTTATTTGATATATGTGATTATCTTGTGGATGGCTTGAAATTTCTACCAAAATGACTTCTTTTTCTTCAGGTTTGCCCACTAACTGACTTCATTCAGGGAACCAATGGAAACCAAGGGGTTATGGACAGCTGTTTCGTCTTTTTCTGGAACTCTTCATCAGTGCACCCACACGACCTCACCTCCAGAGAGAGAGAGAGAATCCAGGACCTTCAGGTTACGAGATGAGCTCGTTGACTATCCAACCACTGGAACAGAACCCAGTGGCCCATCATTTCTAACTTCTGTCATTTTGTGATATATAGCGTGACTGGCAGCTACTGTTAGTATGTAAGAATCCCTGGTTAGGTCTTGGGTGTCTACTGATGAAGGTCAGTCGGTCGGTCGGTTTTCGACATAGAACTTTACACAAATGTGCGGCAGTTCAAGTCGCCACACTCCATGTAGCACACAAAGGAAGAGAAGAGAGTAGGAGAAATGCATAATATAGACAGTAAACAGAGGTGTGAGACAAAGGAATAGTAATAACGAAGAACAAAACACTTTCATTGAGAATCATAAGTCACAAGGAGTGGATGCATCTGCGCTAGCCATTGAGAATGATTTTGGGCCATGTCACCAATTGTTTCCAACCATTGGTTTTTACCGTCCCGAGGACCCCAACCAGGAAGCCAGTCTACACCTTCCTACGTGGCTTAGACTAACTGTTGTAGATTTCATTGACTGGTGCCATGTTTTGGTTTGACCACCGCTAGCTCTTTTCCAGTCTGACCGTATGTCAGCTAACATTGCCCGTTGACGAAGGCGATGACTAGGCATACGTAACACATGTCCTAATCATCTCAGTCGATGTATTTTCACAGTTTCGTCGACTGATTTCCCCTCCTTACCTAGCACTCGACGCCTAACCTCAATATTCCTCACCTTATTATGCCACTTCACGCGGGAGATAGAACGCAGACACCTCTGATCGAAGACAGCTAATCTTTTCATGTCTTCTGCTCTCAATGGCCAGGTGTCACAGCCATAAAGGAGGACGGAGCGGACTGTTGAGCAGTACACACGCCCTTTGGTTGATAGTCGGATATCACGTCTACGCCAGAGACGGCGTAAACTGGCATATGCGAAACTAGCCCTCTGTATTCGTACTGATGAAGAGTCCCAAACTAGGATAAAACAGTTGTCCATTACTCCCTGGTTTCCCCTGGTTCTCTAATTGAAGCCAATTCGTGGTCGATCTTCGAATCAATCAAGTCCCTGCAAACCAACACTTGAAAAAAACTCTTCAAATTCTTAGTCTTTTACAGTCATGTCTAAGAAAAGTGAAAACTTAATTAAAAAGAATTACTCGATAACTTTGAAGAACACCATATCAGTTGAGGCGTAATTATTCTGTTTTTACCTTGCTGGAAACTTTCGAAATCAGCATTTTTAGCTTCATCTAAAAATAGTTCAGTCTTTTTATAAAATGTACTTTTTATAGCTTAACTAACACTCACCGTCTAGCTAGACGGTCAGCTATAAAAATGTCTGTAAGATCATTTATTTTAGTTTTAAAGACTAGTCAATAAAGCCACACCACAGTCCACTATATATATATATATATATATATATATATTTAAGTTTACAGCAAAATGATTTCCTTGTTCATTAGTTTGACATAATTATAACCATAGACTGTGAAATATCAACAGCTGCATTGAACACGCTAATAGTATTAAGCTAGCTGGACCAGTTGTCCTCAGGCAGATAACATTTAATCATCAATGGATTAATGTATTATAACATTTAACGAAGGTATTAGTTTTCGTGGCTAAATGAACGTGAATACTGACCGTTTCAGTAGAGATTTCCTTCATCTCCGATGACTTTAATAATTTGCTAAACAATTATATTAAGCTTTGTATTTTCCTTAAAAAAAATACCAGACTTAAAAATTACAGAATATCTGTACATGATATGATAAACACACATAATTTTGTTTAAAATCTTTTGCCTTTGTTCTTATTTTTTAGTCCTATTGAGTTTTGTCAATGCCTTCTCTGTACGCCTGTCTACATTCGTTCAAGATATATTTACCTATGCAAAACTTGCTGCCTTAGTCATGATCATTATTACTGGACTCGTGCAAATAGGTTTTGGTAAGTTTAAACAGTTGTTGTTCTCTATATAGAAGATTAATCATTACAATGAAATTTAATTGAAATATATTATATGATAGAGTAAATTGCATATGATTTCTACACCTCTCTATCTAAGTAATTTAAGCCATCATTTACGTGTTGTTGTTTTTTTCGGTGGTAAGGGTTGGGAGGGGGTAATCTTCATTTGGGAACTTTGCAGTTATAACTGGAAACCCTAAAATCTGTGAATGAGAAATGGTTAACATAAACATGTGTAGTCGAGTATTCCTCATATCGAGGGATAAATGTATATTTTTATTTCGATTAGATTGATGTTTGATGAATACTGACACAAACAACAAATAATGCTATGAGTTGTTCTACAAGAAGCTGCATGTCTACCGAGAGGAAGTACCACTGTTTTAAACGAAGTATTGTGTCTATGCTTAGAAGGAAATAAAATGGTGAGGTGGATCTAGTTTTTGTAACTCAAATGTGTACGTTAGTTCATGAAATCACTACTATTTTTGAGATTTAAATCCACATGATCTACTATCACAGTCAAATATCAGTTTAATAGTGTGAAGCTGTGAGCAAATGATTACTCCATTTACATCTCAGAAACACATAGCTGATGGTTGCTGGGAGGGAAATTGTATGATTTCTGGTAAAAATTGCAAAATGATTGCACTTCAATATCAGAGTAGACTGTTTAGTTTACTGGTTAATCATAAATATTGGTTAATAGAAATGGGTCAAGAAAGAAGGAAAGATAATACATTGGTCATTGTCTAGAAAGTGAATCAAGGTAGAAACAATTCAGTGGTAAAATCACCTGTTAAAACGCGATAAATATACATTTTTCTATAGCTGTTTTGTAAGGATTAGTTTTGTTTTTACGAGTTGATCACGGATTGATATCAGTGAGGTCCATCCAGTCAAGTGTGAGGATGGATTTCCCACCGACGACATTGGTTGGGGTTGCGCTAAATCACGAATTGGTAGAAGTTAGAATTCATGAAGTGGCCACTGAATCGGGTCCCAATGACTGAATGGTATACGAGCCAGCTTGCTTTGTAACCGGAAGGTCCCGGGTTCGAACCCTGGTGGTGGATGCGTACTGCCAATGATTCCCGAACTAGGATGAAACAGCTGTCCAGTACTCTTTGCTGGTTTTCAATGGTTCTCTAACTGATATCAATCCGTGATCAACTCGTAAAAAATTTAAATATATCTAGACTTAAGCATAAGAGCAAATTTTTCAGTAAAGAAAATCTTCTCTGTGAATTCATTCACTTAACCGTACAATCGCAAATGTTGAGTGACCGATGTTAAATATATGTCCAATTATGACACTCCATACTGACCTATTGTAACTTTTCTGTAGACATGTAGGACAATGTTCCTTAAATCTCTTGGATAAAACACGCATTCAGTGACTTATATATATATCTCTCCACTGAAGCGAATGAATTAGTAGATATATATAAAATTGGTCAGATGCAATAGTTTATTTTTCGAGCCACTAGAGAACACTGAGCAGCAAGGAAACACCAATCTTAATGTATATTGCAAAGGTGTTTGATATCCTCTTCTTTAGAGTGTCAGCCACAATGTCACCTTCAAAAACTACGTTCATGTGTAACATCTTCAGCACAACTATAGGATTTTCTTCTTTGGTTTTCGGTTCTATGTGTTTATCTATGAAGCGTGAGAGGTAGCCATTTTCGCTTAGTGTCTTCTTCAGAAGTGTGATCTCCTCATCTATTGACTCCAGACTGAAGATTCTTCGATAGTAAGAGATATTGTCAGGTTTCTTTTTCGATTTATGAGCATCAAACTGTTAGAGTTTGTCAGCTAGTCATTCCACATAGGCTTTCTGTATGCTGATCTGTTTAATGTCCCATCAGGCTTATGCTTCACTAATTTATTTTTATTGATTTGCTAAGCTTGACAGACTGGAAGTACACACTTTTTATCACCTATTAAGTCACAAAAATCAATGTCATAACACAGAAGTTTGACAGATGAATAATATCTTCAATAACACAATAATATACTCGGAAGTAAATATAGCGACGTGTACATGTATTTTCCCAATAAATTTATTTTTCAGGTTAATTTTTTTGTTGTTAGTGAAAGTAAGTTGCAGTTATTGTTTTAATTACAAAACAGTTTTCCACTAATTATCTCTTTTCACTAAAAAAAATGGTATTATTTAAGTTCATAGGGAAATGAATTATACACGGGTGAGTACCACTTATCAATTATTCATGATAAATTATATTGAAGGTTTGGAAGTTTCCTTGTTTATTCATTGAAAATTATTGTTCAGCTTTTATTTGTTATTAATACTCTAAATTTCTTGAGTTCTAAAGAACTGCTTACCAGATGGGTTAACAAAGAAAACTTCAATAGGTTCACAAACGTTTAGTAATTGAAGTATTGAAAATGTCTGTTGAACTGGTCGAAAGCATGAATAGAAGCATGTCTACAGTGAATTAAGCTTCAATAAAACTGTGAGGTTGCTTAGGCAGAATCTGTGAGTCATGCGAATTCGATAATTGAAAATGTAAATTTTTCCAGTGAGCGCTTTTCAGTCTATCTCAAGTGATTAAAGCCATAACATCAATCTAATTCTATTTTAGTTTTGATACAAAGTTAAATCAATCAGGAAATAAATTATCCTCTTAAAAAGGCCTATATAAGTTATTATATTGTATTTTCTATAGTTTGGTTTGTAAAGGTTTTTTATGTTTTTACGAGTTGATCACGGATTGATATCAGTTAGAGAACCATTGAAAACCAGGGAGTACTGGACAGCTGCTGTTTCATCCTAGTTTGGGAATCATCGGCATTACGCACCCACTGGGATTCGTACCCAGGACCTTCCAGTTACAAGGCAAGCTCGTATACCATTCAGCCACTGGGACCCGATTCAATGGCTCATGAATTCTAACTTCTACCAATTCGTGATTTAGCGTGAACCCAACCATTGTCGTTGGTGGGACATCCATCCACACACGTGAAATCTAATTGAACCTCACTGGTCACGACTTCTCACTAGAACTCCAGGAAGCTCCAACCTGTAGCAAGTCACTAGCGAGCATCAGATTAATCGGGTCCCAGTGGCTGAATGGTATATGAGCTTGCCTTATTATATTGTAGCAAAATTCATTTACGATTAAACACTGAAGCTCGGTGAACATTAAACTGTCATTAAAATGTGTCCGATGAGCGTTTTGCTGAAGATTTGTCATTCCCTATGAACGTTTCACTACTGACTGACTAGAGCTAAGTTGCAGTCAAAAGTCACAGCGTATTCTACACTTGCTGATATTAGATAGTTGGAGGCATAAGTATAAAACTTGGGCACTGTGGTAGAGTATAACTCCATAATGGTTAAGATTTTATTTTGATAAATCACACAGTGTTGTACAGTTATATTAACTGATGACGTTTCGAGCACAAACTATTGCTCATAATCATATCAAGTTGATTATGATTATGAGCAATAGTTTGGAGGCAATCAGCAGGAAGTCTTGGACCTAGGTTTCGTGCTAGTTGGCACTCCCCAGTCAGCAAGGCGTATCTGCAACCTTGAAGGAACTCATGTCCCTTCTGAGACGTGTCTAGTCCTTTCCTTTGACTGCAGCACTGGGTGACTCGGGTTCGAATCTCAGAAGGGACATGAGTTCCTTTAAGGTTGCGGACACGCCTTGCTGACTGAGGAGTGCCAACTAGCACGAAACCTAGGCCCAAGACTTCCTGTGGCCGATTGCCTCCAACCATCTAATATCATCAAATCAATGTGCAGCGTGATGGTGAGCTACCTAGAATGGTGGTCACATTGCAAACCTGACTGACAGAATTCAGTCTGCACCAAAGAAAGGACTAGACACGTCTCACTAGTTACTAGTGTCCGATCAAAAAGTATTCCACACTTATTTCACTTTGGTTTGAAATTCTTCAAAACCACTCGTCCACACTAACATACACAAATGAGCTGGTTAATCTTCAATGTAGCGCAGATGACTGATGTGTGACAAATGTTCTTCAGACAAAGAAAACTCAAATAGAGCTATTAAAATACTTGTAAGTAGGGCATATGTTATTTCTAGACGTATTGATTAGCATTTATCTTCATTACCAGGGTGTTATTGGCTTCGTGGAATACATTAATATTTTGAAACTAAATAATATTGTTGATGAAAAGCAAATTATCACTCATTTTGTGAGATTTGATCAGTCAAGTGAAGAAAAAATTGCCTCAAATCTATGTTTTAGGTAAATATTATTCCTGTTATGCATAGGTAGTCAGACTGTATTTTTGTAGTCATATTGGATAAACATAGATTTACTCAGTCTTAAGTAAGGAGTTGTTAAATCTAAGTTTTGTATTATTCAAATTATCAATATCTCCATCTCAAACTATTACATACTACTGTAACAACAGAAGACAAGGGCCAGGCAACAGATCGTTTATTTAGGAAATCAACATATATTTATAAATTTTCATGTACATTATTAAAGATTATTGTAAGCAAACAAACACAGTCTTCTGATTGGTGGTTCCTTGCTGAACGTTAATCTTTCATCTCTTTGTCACTGTTTCTTGAAGTTCAGATTATCTATCTGCAAATTGTATCCGCCTACGCAAAGGCTGCTTTGATTGGTTGTTGAATCAGTCTTTGTTCTTATTTTTCTAATGACCAATATTGGGGACGTAAACACTGACGTAAATTACTGTCTGCCAATTTTGGCTGGCAGCCAGCTCTCACCACACTACTAAAGTGTTTAGCAAACGTAAAATTTTCAATAGAAATTTCATTTCCAGACATACGATCATGTTCAGGCTATTGTTAGTAGTAGTGCGTCGGTGGCACAGCGGTTAGGATTCTTGCTGACCATGCACATGGTCCGAGGTTCGATCCCCAGCCGACACACGCCTGATATCAATTGGCCGGCCTGCAAAATTTGGGCTACCGATATCACATGCTGAAAATTCCATACTTGTA